ACCAGGAAGAAATTGAATTCCTGAACAGACCAATAGTGAACTCTGAAATGCAGGCAGTAATAAATTAGCCTAGCAACCGAAAAAAGCCCAGGACCAGGGGATTCACAGCTGAATTCTACCAGATGTACAAAGAAGAGCTGGTACCATTCTTACTGAAACTATTCCAAAAAATTGAGAGGGAGGGACTCTGCCCTAACTCATTCTATGAGGCCAGCATCATCCTGATATCAAAACCTTGGAGAGATACAACAACAACAACAAAAACTTCAGGCCAATATCCTTGATAAACATCAATGCAAAAATCTTCAACAAACTACCAGCAAACTGAATCTAACAGTACATCAAAAGGCTTACCCACCACAATAAAGTAGGCTTTATCCCTGGGAGGCAAGGTTGGTTCAACATATGCAGATCAATAAGTACGATTAATAACAGAAATAGAACTAAAGACAAAAACCACGTGATTATCTCAATAGATGCAGAAAAGGCTTTCAATAAAATTCAACATCCATTCATGTTAAAAACTCTCAATAAACTAGGCATTGAAGGAACATACCTCAAAATAATAAGACCCATATATGACAAACCCACAGCCAGCATCATACTGAAAGGGTAAAAGCTGGAAGCATCCCCCTTGAAAACCGGCAACAAGACAAGGATGCCCTCTCTCATTACCATTACTCCTATCCAACGTAATATTGGAAGTTCTGGCCAGGGTAATCGGGCAAGAGAAAGAAATAAAGGGCATCTGAATAGGAAGAGAGGAAGTAAAGCTATCCCTGTTGCAGGAAGTCAGGGACCCCGAACGGAGGGACTGGCTGAAGCCATGACAGAAGAACATAAATTGTGAAGATTTCATGGACATTTATTAGTTTCCCAAATTAATACTTTTATAATTTCTTACACCTGTCTTTACTGCAATCTCTGAACACAAATTGTGAAGATTTCATGGACACTTATCACTTCCCCAATCAATAACCTTATGATTTCCTATGCCTTTCTTTACTTTAATATCTTAATCCTGTCATCTTTGCAAGCTGAGGAGGATGTATGCCACCTCAGAACCCTGTGATGATTGCATTGGCTGCACAAATGGTTTGTAGAGCATGTGTGTTTGAACAATATGAAATCTGGGCACCTTGAAAAAAGAACAGGATAACAGCAATGTTCAGGGAACAAGGGAGATAACCTTAAACTCTGACTGTCAGTGAGCTGGGCAGAACAGAGCCATATTTCTCTTCTTTCAAAAGCAAATAGGAGAAATATCGCTCAATTCTTTTTCTCAGCAAGGAACATCCCTGAGAAAGAGAATGTGCCCCTGAGGGTAGGCCTCTGAAATGGCTGCTTTGTGGTGGCTGTCTTTTATGGTTGAAGACGAAGGAATGAAATAAGCCCCGGTCTCCTGTAGCACTCCCAGGCTTATTAGGACGAGGAAATTCCCGCCTAATAAATTTTGGTCAGACTGGTTGTCTGTTCTCAAACCCTGTCTCCTGATAAGATGTTATCAATGACAATGCGTACACAAAACTTCATTAGCAATTTTAATTTCTCCCTGTCATGTGGTCCTGTGATCTCGCCCTGCCTCCATTTGCTTTGTGATATTTTATTACCTTGTGAAGCATGTGATCTCTTGACCCACACCCTATGCGTACACTCCCTCCCCTTTTGAAAATCGCTAATAAAATCTTGCTGGTTTTACGGCTCAGGGAGCGTCACGGAACCTGCCAACATGTGATGTCTCCCCCGGACACCCAGCTTTAAAATCTCTCTCTTTTGTACTCTTTCCCTTTATTTCTCAGAGCAGCTGATGGTTAGGCAAATAGAAAATAACCCACATTGAATATTGGGGGTGGGTTTTCCCCCGATAATCCCTGTTTGCAGATGACATGCTCCTATAACTAGAAAACGCCATTGTCTCAGCCCAAAAGCTTCTTAAGCTGATAGGCAACTTTTGTAAAGTCTCAGGATACAAAATCAATGTGCAAAAATCACTAGCATTCCTATACACCAACAACAGTCAAGCCAAGAGCCAAATCAGAAATGGACTCCCATTCACAATTGCCACACAAAGAATAAAACACCTAGGAATACAGCTAACTAGGGAAGCGAAAATTTTCTTAAAAAATACAATAGAACTACAAATAAAAAAGGAGAACTGCTCAAATAAATCAGACAACACAAACAAATGGAAAGACATTCCATGTTCATGGATAGGAAACATCAATATCATTAAAATGGTCATACTGCCCAAAGCAATTTATATTAATAGATTCAATGCTATGCCTATTAAACTATTATTGACATTTTTCACAGAACTAGAAAAAAATATTTTAGAATTCACAGGGAACGAAAAAATAGCCAAGGCTATCCTAAGCAAAATGAACAAAGTTGGAGGCAAACCATACTACAGGGCTACAGTAGCCAAAACCGCATGGTACTGGCACAAAACAGGCACACAGACCAATGGAACAGACTAGAGAAGCCAGAAATAAGACCACATATCTACAATTATATGATCTTTGACAAACCTGACAAAAACAAGCAATGGGGAAAGGTTCCCTATTCAACAAATTGTGTTCCCATAAGTGGCTGCCATATGCAGAAGATTAAAACTGGACTCTTTCCTTACCTCATATAGAAAAATTAACTCAAGATGGATTAAAGACTTAAATGTAAAACTGAAAACTATAAAAACCCTGGAAGACAACCTATGCAATATCATTTATGATGTAGGCACATGCAAATATTTCATGACAAAGATGCCAAAAGCAATTGCAACAAAAGCTTCTGCACAACAAAAGAAACTATCAATAGACAGACAACCTACAAAATGGGAAATAAATTTTTGCAAGCCATGCATCTGATAAAAGTCTAATATCCAGCATCTATAAGGAACTTAAATAAACATACAAGAGAAAAACAAACCCCATTAAAAAGTGGGCAAAGGATGTTAACAGACACTTTTCAATAGAAGACATACATGTGGCCAACAATCATATATTAAAAAAATGCTCAACATCACTGATCATTAGAGAACTGTAAATCAAAACTACAAGGAGATACCATCTCATGCCAGTCAGAATGGCTATAATTAAAAAGTGAAAAAATAACAGATGATGTCAAGGTTGTGGAGAAAAATGTATACTTGTACACTGTTGCTGGGAGTATAAATTAGTTCAGCCATTGTGGAAGACAGTGTGGCAATTCCTCAAAGACTTAAAGACAGAAATACCATTTGACCTGCCAATCCCATTACTGTGTATATACCTGATGGAATAGAAATTGTTCAATTATAAAGACACATGCACAGGTATGTTCATTGCAATACTATTCACAGTAGTAAAGACATGGAACCAACCTAAATGCCCATCAATCATAGACTGGATAAATAAAATGTGGTATATATACAGCATGGAATACTATGCAGCCATAGAAAAGAAAGAGATAATGTCCTTTGCAGGGACATGGATGGAGCTGGAGGCCATTATCCTTAGCAAACTAATGCAGGAACAGAAAACCAAATATCGCATGTTCTCACTTGCAAGTGGGAGTTAAATGATGAGAACACATGGATACAGAGGGGAACAACACACACTGGGACCTGCCAGAGGGTGTAGGGTGGGAGGATGGAGAGGACCAGGAAAAACACCTAATGGGTACTACGCTCAATATCTGGGTGATGAAATAATCTGTAGAACAAACACCCATGACATAGTTTAGCTACGTAACAAACCTGCACATGTACTCCTGAACTTAAAAGTTAAAAAAATACGCTGGAGGTTACACATCACATTCAGGATAGGAGTACCCCTGGGGAAGAGGGAAGGTGAATGGAAATGGAGTGAAGGTCAAGGAAACCTCAATTTTTTTTTCTGTAAAGTTTTCATTCCTTAAAAGAAAGACAAAGTAAATATACCTAAATGTTAACAACATTGAAATCTGAGTAGTGGAAACACTGGTGTTTATTATATTTAATTCCAGGGACATTGTAGGTACACAATTAATATTATTTGTTGAATGAGTATGCTTTTCTGTTTTAAAAGTTTCTCCAACAAGCATACACAATTTTCAAATTAACAGAAAGTGCTACAAGAGCAAAGAAAAGGGAATGAAGTGAGGTAGGGAAGGCTTGAGAAATCCCTGTGGAAAGAGTGATTTCTAATCTGTATAAATCTGTACCACCATACATGGGGTGCAAGCTAAAGACATAGTTCTACCTCCACCTTACCTTAATGCTCTAAGGTTCTGGATAAGCATCCAGAAAATGATCTTGAACACTTAGTCCTTTCAAGTAAATACAGGATCCTCAATTTTCTCTTCCAATAGACACTGGGTGGTGCTATTGTCCAAAAATTCCTCCCCGTCACAGATTTATTACTTCAATCTATAGACATCTCCACAACCAATGTGTCTTGTGGGCCAAAGTGCTAGGGATTGGGGATATAAAGGTGAATAGCTTCAGTTGTTCCGTGATTATAAACTGATTGCTATCGGGTTCCGTGGCCGAGCAAGTTGCAAATGTGACTGTTACATTTTATAGGAGAGCACTACTGTCACAGAAATGTCCAGTTGTAGGGGTGAATGGCCCTGAACCACCCACCCTCACCATGAGCACCCCTACTCCACGACCTGGCTAAGGATTAGAGCAGACAACACCGAGCCCCACTTCCAACCTACTGTTAGGTTTTCATAGCGTCCTTAGGCCCCAGTGGCTATAAAAAGCCCAGAGAGCCTAAATACCGGTCATTCGGCTTGGACTTCAGTGTTCCAGATGTTCTAAGCTCACTGGGCAAGATGTGTCTGCTTAATGCAGAGGTCTCTGTTATTGTGAAAGAGTGAGGGTACTTAGGATTAAGGGAATGTGGACCCTCAGGACTAAAGCAGTGGGAGAGGCCTGGGAGGTGGAGCCTGGGGAGGCGGGGTCTGCTCTGATGTCACCAAGCCCCTGATCATAGAGGAGATGGTGGGCAGGCTCTGGAGGCTGAAGCGGAGGAGGGGAAGGAAACGAGTCCGGAAACCCTGGGCCAATCAGACAGGGCTGGGGCGGGGTCTGCTGCAGGGCTTAGCGCTGCAGGCCTCTGGCGGGAACGCTAACCTGGTCGATCCTGGGTCTCAGCCCCGCGGACAGCTTTTCACGAGTCTTCAAGCCTTCAGGTGAGGACCTGTGGCCCCGCAGGAGCCAGAGGACCATGGGAACAGGGAGGCCTCGGGGTCGCGAGGCGGAGGATGCCGCACCTTCGGGAGCCAGAGGGGCCGGGGTTGGGACTGGCGCTTTGCGTCTGCGCCGCCGCCAGGCCTGGCGAGTCTGCGCCTTTGCCTGCCCCGGGCGCCGCCTTCTGCGCGCGAAGTCCAGCCCTGCAGGGTGCAGGTCCTGGGAACAAGACTCAGGGATGGGGGGTGGGGACATACCCTTAAAAGCGACCCGTCCGCGGTAGCTGCATGTCGGAGGCTTTGAGGATGAGGAGTTTGGGGGCCGCCCGGAATGGGCCCTCTGGGCTGGGCCCTGGTTCCCTCCCATCCCGTGGCCGTTACGCTGGGCGCCAGACAACGCTAATAGTTATTTGAAAAGGTATGCAAGCTGCTCCTGACAGACTGGCCTATGCACCTGGCCCTGCTGTTATTTATTTGTTCCAGTTTCCCAGCTCGGAGCTTGGCGTCTGATCGCTTGGCAGAGGAGGGTCTTAGGGTAACCTCGATGGAATGGAGGCATGTTCGGCACTTCTGGCTGCTTGGGGGCCTCTCCATTCTACTCCAAGCACTAGACATAGTATCTTACTCCACCAGGGTGGGGCCGGGCTCTCTTATGAGAGCTCTGCCTTCCGATTTCTGGGATACCCTATTGTCTCTTTTGGACAAACTCGGGATGCTCACAGGGCACCAGGCATTTGGTCAGGTCCATAGCCACGGACTTCTGAGTCTCATCTCCTTGCCTGTCTCTTTGCAGAGAAAACATGGTGAAAGAAGACTCACTTCTATTTGGTTTATCCCATTCTGCTGAAGTCATGGGTCTGATCCTAGTTAGCTATCTCTTCTTACAACGTTTACAAACCAGTGCCACAAGGAGCTATTATGAGGCGTGCACTGCCTTAATGTACTATCGTCTTTGGGGATTTAAAATAGAAAGAAATTAGTACAACTTATGCCACTCTGTTTTGTGTGCTGCTCCCCATCTCTCAAGAAAAATGCCAAAAACCAAAAGTAATTTAATAGAAAGTGAAGATGCTCAAATAGTGCTATCTCCTGTTACAAAATAATTACCTGTTTAAAGTCAGTCTTTACTTTTTCTTCTATCCCTATCTGCTCTTGTGCTTCTATCACCTCCGTTTTACTCTTGCTGTGATTTTAAGAGTCCGACATACTGGCTCTGGGTTTCTAGGGCACCTTGGTTTATAATGCGTTCTGATGTAGTGGCATTTACTGCCTATCAGAAATGGGCTAATGATGTAGAGATGAAATTATTTTAACAAAAATATAACTTTTTTTTTTAATAGAGACTTGCTCTGTTGCCCAGGCTGGAGTGCAGTGGTGCAATCTCGGCTCACTGCCACCTCAGTCTCCCAGGTTCAAGCAATTCTCCTGCCTCAGCCTCCCGAGTAACTGGGATTACAGGCGCACGCCACCATGCCTGGCTAATTTTTGTATTTTTAGTAGAGATGGGGTTTCACCATGTTGGCCAGGCTGGTCTTGAATTCCTGACCTCCAGTGATCCGCCCACCTCGGCCTCCCAAAGTGCTGGGATTTTCTAAGATGTGTTGCTGTTTTTCTGTTGAAAATAAGCAGGTAGAATATACACTGATAGGAAATGTGAATTTTTTTGCTTGTGACCCATTAGTCTGAAGATAGTTCTGCCATGTACATTTTCTTAAAAATGTTTTTTTCTTTTCAGGCTTTCTTCTAGTCAAGATGAGTGATAAACCAGACTTGTCGGAAGTGGAGAAGTTTGACAGGTCAAAACTGAAGAAAACTAATACTGAAGAAAAAAATACTCTTCCTTCAAAGGAAAGTAAGTCATGGGGGGTTCTGATGGAAACAAACAATAGAGAAAGTTAATAGGTTCACTAAATAAACCTATCTTCTAGTAAATTTTTGATGCAAAGTAAGCAATAATTAGAGTACCATGGTATTTAATGCAGCAGTTAAAACTATCAAATATTTTTCTTCTGGTTCTCATATGATGGGGGCCCAGTAGTGATAGGGGAATAAAAAACTAGATTCTTGTTAGAAAATTATTAAAACCACGTTAAAACCAATCTTGGGATATTGGATGTAGCACTAAAAAACACTTAGTTTTTGTCTACTTTTGGGTATTTGGCATTTTTCTGCATTTAGAAATTTGAGTCCATAATATCCCTAAATAACCCTGTAGACTGCAGTTTTGGCTTTCTATATCTGATGACAAGATAAGGTGAGACAACAAATTTAGATCTTGGTGTACTCAAAGCTCTCAGATTCAAGGGATGGGTTTTGCCCTCTGGAGTTAGACCCTGCTGGAGAAACTCTAAGCATATTCACAAAGGCTGAGGGGCACTTTTTGTTATTTCACTTTTATTTGAGAGTTGCAACATTAGTTAAAATTATTTGAAAGTGTCTAATTTCCTAACTGTGTAGTGATAGATAAATCTGAAGAAAGTGCTTCACTTGCTCCTCTGTCTTGAATAGTCTAAAAAAATGACAACAGCATTTGGAAAAACAAACCCTACAGTTGATGTAGTTTCTAATGAATGTTCAGGTGGTTAACATACACACGCATGCACACACACACCCCACTGTGAGTTTTGTGGTTAATGCCTTGGCATTCTAAATTTAAAGCATGTATGGCAGCCTTCAATGATTTACAAAGAGCTCTTTTGGAAGAAGCTGAACTTAGTCTTAGGAAAATTCTTTTGTAATGTTTTGTTTCTTTTATCCCCCCAGCTATCCAGCAGGAGAAAGAGTGTGTTCAAACATCGTAAAATGGGGATCTCCTCCAAAGAGCAGATTTCAACATTGTCTGACAGTCTTGGTTTTGGGTTTGTTTTTTTTGTAACCCTATGTGTTTGTAAAGATTTCAGGCATCTTCTGATTTCTTCTCAACTGTATTCCCTGGCTAAGAGGTCAGGGGTAGTGAATGTTTCCTTAAGTTCCTTTTTAAACTTCCCATTGGTATGTAAATTCCAAATGGCAGATGCTGTCAATAATCTTGCCATTGATGACCTTTGTGTACGTAGTCCTTGCACCTCATACAGGATAAGCCAATTTAAACTTTCTACAATGGATGCCTCAATTGTTTTGTAATCTTCATGAGGTTGCATCCTTTTGCAGCTTCTTATAGTTTATTTTCACTTCCAATGTAGCAATAAAATAATAAATATAATAGTTATCGTGTGACTGTTGTGGTTCATTCTGGTAGGTAGTTTAAGGAATGAAAAGTACACAAGGCTACCCTTTCAGCCAAACAAAATGGTTGAAGGAAAACTTTTAGCAGATTATTCCTGGGGGGAAATACTCAATTCTGTCCAGGTCCAGTGAGTCCTGACTTGGGGATGGTAGGTGCTTTTTCTTTAGAGTTGGAATCACAGAGTTAGAGAACCTTGGGAGAGAAGGTCATGTGGACTAATCTCCTTATTGCAGAATGAAGCAATGAAAACAGGGTCTGATGTGATCTGCTCAAGGTGAATAAGGGCTGGAATTCAAGCTAGGCTCTCTTTCCTTCTGGAAAGTATTTTTCAGCTTAATGGGAGTTAACATCCAAGACTGAAGTTGGATGGAGAAAGGAGCAGGAGGCACTTCCTAACAAACACATATTAAGCACATCACATCTTCTAATGACCTGTAGCACCGAACTTCTGGTATGATTTTTTCTACTGAACAGAATTTGCTGTTTTATGAACTAAACATTTCTAGTGTTCATGGTGAGCATAAATGCTATGGATGAATTTTGTCACCTGTGACCCCCCCCAATTCATATGTTGAAACCCTAATCCTTAGTGTTATTGTATCTTTAGATAGGTTGTTTCAGAGGTAATTTAGGTTATGAAGTGATAACAGTCAGGGCCTCATCCAATAGGACCATGGCCTTATAAGGAGAGAGAGACCAGTCTGCAACTTGCGAGGACACAGCAAGAAGGTGGCTATCTACAAGCCAGGAAGAGAGCCCTCACCAGAATGTGACTGTGCTGGACATCGACTTGAGATTTCTAGACTCTAGAACTGTGAGCAAGTAAATTTTTGTTGTTTAAGTCACCTAGTCTGTAGTATTTTGTTATGGTAGCCTCAGCTAATACAATAAGGAATATGTATAAATGCATGCATTTTAATTCCTGCCTTTAAACAATACTTTTATACCTTTTTAAAAATTATTATTTTATTTTATTTTTATGAGACAGGGTCTTGCTCTGTCACCTAGGCTAGAGTGCAGTGGTACAATCATAGCTCATCGCAGCCTTGACCTCCTGGGCTCAAGCATTCCTCCCACCTCAGCCTCCCTAGTCCCTGGGACTACAGGCACATGATGCCACACCCAGCTAATCTTTCTGATTATTAGTAGAGATGAGATCTCGCTATGTTGCCCAGGTTGGTCTTGAACTCCTGGGCTCAAGCAATCTGCCTGTCTCAACCTCCCAAAGTGCTGGGATTACAGGCATGAGCTACCATGCCCAGCCTACTTTAAAGCCTACTTTAATCATGTGTATAAAAACAAATCACCTATAATCCCACCAATTAGAAGTATTAACCATCCAGACTTGTGATCTATTAATGTACATATCTTCCTACAAAGACGGATTATACCGTTCATACCTATTTTCAACCTCAAGTATTATCTTACCTCCCCCTTTCTAAGGGCTCACATTCTTAAATAATCAGTGGGATTACATGAAGTGGAAGCTGTTTTCTCTGCTATAGCTTAAAGTTTCAAAATCAAAACAGTAGGTAGGTCAATTTTGATCAAGTGCTGATGAGGTGACACAGTCACAGGGCTTAGTGTAGCCAGAGAATTTGAACCTTGGAAGTAACCATGTTAGTCAACAGTACCTTATCTTCTACCTGAGGCAATTGTCCAGTAGAGTTTCTCAGCTCCTTGCAGTTCTCTGGAAGTGCACCTTTGTTTTACACTGAAGTCTGCACCTCCATGGTATACAAACTGTTCACAGGAATAGTATGCATTTCAACGGGAATTCCTTGATACGGATCATGTTGACAAAACTTAATGAGGGTATCCTTGATCTGCTACTACTGTTTTTCTTGGTATGATGCTTATAATTTGTTAGTTACATGATGCACGCCAATTCCTTTAGTTCCTTCTTTCAGCAAAACACACCATTAGATCACCGATGCTCACTTATTGCCCTTTACCTGCTTTCAGCCACAGAGACGGATAATCAGATGTATTCATTTCCCATTCCAGTCTTCAACATCAAGACCTATTTCTCCTTTCCCTTGCCTATAATTTGTCTATGTCAGTCACCCTTACACTTCTAGTCAGCATTCCACAGCTGGATTATGGTGCATTTTAAACATTTCACTACGCTCCGGTATACTTTCTGAATTTACAAAGGCAACACACAAGAAGAAAGTCCTAATCATTCAATGTTTACAAAAATGACTACTCACGAGACTAAGTGCTTAGAACTGTATGCAAGAATTAACATTCTTTAGTGGGACATTTTTATGTCCTATGGAAAACTTCTGGCAAGTTCATGCAGCACCAATGAGCCTGATAGAAATAAAGTGATTGAGGGAAATGCAGTGTTCTTCAAACAACTCCACAGTTACTTTTTATCCCTGCAAAGGCAAACAGCTCTGAAAAGAGGCTCAGCTTCCATAATTTTATTAGGGATGTGTAAGACAGTCTCGAAGCACCACACGGGGACATTTGTTGCAGTTAATTTTGTGAAAGATTTTTTCAGTCACTTTTGGAAGCAAACTTTTTTATTCTTTTTGAAATACTTTTATGAGATTTTCTTAAAATTCAAAAATAAGTACTAATCCTGATAAGGTGGGTCAATGGCCCTAAATCCTTAGTTTATCTATTTGAAGGAGAGCTGTGGAGGTATTATGGCCCAGCACAGTTAGTCAGCATTGGGCCTAAAATGAAAAACAGATTTCTCCATGGCCTCCTTGATCAGCCATCGTTCCCCTCTTTCCACCTGCACTGTTCACGGAAGCTCTCTGGAGCGTCTTGCGTTGCCCACATTCTTTCTCTTGAGCACTTGTGGCTCTGCCACAGGTGAAATCCTCTGTGGTTGGTCTCTTCTGCCAGGGATTTATCACGATATTATGAGCTGCAGAAGGATTTTGTTTTTGTAGATTATCCAGGGTTCGTTTTATCATTTCCTTGAATTGACATCCTAATCAGGTGTCGGCATCCTACTCGGAAGGAGAATTTACAACATATTTTGAAAGTACTGATAACAACAATACAATAGACAAACACAGGGCTTTCAAGCAACTCATCATACATTTCCAAGGATTGAAATCCCAGAATATGTTCTCTCTCCACAGAAGTGAGTGCTAGATATAAATAATACTTTTTAAAAAGTAACTGGAAAGTCACAACTGTTTTGAACCTCAGCAATATAGATATAGAAAAACAAACACACACCCAACGGGCCAAGAAGACAACACAATGTAAATTATATTGTATTAACATTCACAGGAATATTAACATTGACATCCCAGGAGGAGAAAGGAGGGATCATCTTAGTTCTCTTAGTGCCTCATCATCTTTTTCTTAGTCATTGCAAGGAGCAAGTGACATGCCCCACTACCAGCTAATTCATATCTCCAAATCAACACATTTGAAAGCAAGAGAGCAAAAAGTCACAGGGCAAGCAAAAATCATTCTCTGTCCCTCTTCCCTGTAATAGGGCAACACCAAGGAACACACATACTGTTTCAGTCCCAGTCATCTTCCATGCTTGTGCCAATGGCTGTGGCTCATGGGCTGCAGGTTCCTCTGTGGTGAAATGAGTGGAGACCGGGGCTTGGCATTCTCTTTGGACGCTCCCGTCAGCCAATGATGCACAATTGCAACTGATAAAAGTTTATGTTTTTAAAAAACAGGAGTTTATGGACAAGAAAGGAATAGAATTGGATAATTCTGAAGCAATCGGAACAGTAGTTTCCATGCTCAAGGACCCGGAATAATGAGATGCTTCCTGAAAATTCTACTTGGCTATTTAATGTACTCTCTTTGCGTCCTAATTTGTGTATTGAAAAGAATTCTGTGTATGAGACATGTTCGAAAAACAGGATTAAATAGGTAAGATGTTTATATCAAGAATTTCTTTTTATATGTTCCCAAATCGAGCATAACGGACATGTGGACTATTCCACCAAATTCTCTAGGGAGAATAAAAGTGAAAATATTAAGGGACTTAGCTACAAAAATAACGTTGATCTGACTAATCCTTATAAACAGAGGCCTGGGAATCAAACTAACAGAAATGAGCATGTAGCGAAGGGATTACATTCAAAATTATCAAATGAAATCAATTATTTCCTGTGGAATAAACTGCACCACAGATATAAATTGAAGCAGAGTTGACAATGTTTAGTTCTTGGGGAAAGAATGCATGAAAAATCAGTGGGATGCCACAGGTCATGTGCCTCTTAAATCGCAAGGATGATGCCCTTGTGTACATGATGCGTAATTATAATATTTAGTTCTTTCTTATTTCATTGATTGTTCAATGTCTTCATAGTCTTCACGGTATCCGTTTCATAAGTCATTGTTTTTCATTCACCCCTATATGTCAGTGTATTGCATTACTATTCCCTGTTGGCACTTCCAGTCGTACTCTTTTGGTCACTTTACATCTCTTTAAATAACATTCTTCGGAAATTTCTTTAACAAGGTTTCTGTTGATGTCAACACTGGGAGTTTTCAATTTCTCTCCCATCTCATTGTTTCTGGGTTAGGTTCTGCAGGAAGCTGACACCGTGATGGAGTTTAGTGTGCAGGACACTTATCCCGGATCAGCAGCTGAGGAACAGACAGGAAGGAGGCAGGAGTGGGCAGAGGAAGAAGTTCATGCTTACTTCAGGCCAAACAAAAGCCTCTTGGGATACCCAGAGAAGCTCTGAAGATAAAATGGCTCATCAGAGTTATTCAGCATTGGGAATAGTTAGCTAGATCTTTATACCCCTTCCTGGATTTGTCTTTGCATGTGGTCCACCTCGGGAAGGGCATGAGGTAGAGCAAGGCAGCTCAGGTAATGTCCTCAGGGACAAGTGGCTGTTGACTGGCAACTACCTGCACTCCGAGCCTCACAAACATCAAATCCATCCTCCACAGGGATTCTGGGTGGTTCTCCTGCCTGTCTATCACAGCCTTCTTATTATTTCATGATACTTTAGCTAGGAATGCAACTCTATGTTGACAG